GCCCCCAATCTCCAACAGCTGAACTTCACAGAAGAAACCTGCACACAAAGAAAACACCCTATGAGTCAGAATCTTTTTGTTGTTGTTGCTCCCCTGGCTTTAACAGGAGCTCTGGTGGCATAGTGCCTAAGGCATTTGACTGCTAGCCAGAAGACTGGGGGTTCAGTCCTACCAGCCACTGTTTGGAAGGAAGGTTGGGGAAACTACATCCATAGTGACACCACCTCGGAAACCCAAGGAGGGGTCACTACGAGTCAGGCCCGACATGATGGATAATGGCAACAGCAAACAACAAAAGAATGGATGTTGTAGATATTGTCTGACACACTGAACACCAGGAAGCAAACAGACAAGGAGGATTGGTGGTGGTGCGGTAGTTGCTGTCTGGTCGGCCCTGACTCAGGACGACCTTGTCTATAACAGGACGGACCAGCACCTGGTGCTGAGCCACCCCCCGATCACTGGGCTATTTGAATCTGCTGCTGGGGCTGTTGTGTCTGTCTATCTCATCAAGGTTTCTCTCCTTCTCATGGATCTCGACCTCAGCAGACATGCCCTCATTCTCCAGCAAATGGTTTTATCAGATGGACGGGGGGGAGGACAAGCCATAGAAGTGGTGTTTCCACTCCACACGAGGCATGAAAAAGGGCAACAATTCAGCAAAATGCTGTTGAATGTTCTGAATATTCTCTTAGTGAAGTGTTCACTGCAGCAGGAATGAGAGAGTAGGGAAAACACACGAATCTTTGCAGGTGTTAGAGTTCGGACTGAGGACACATCATTTCCTGATGTATAAAACTTTACTGAAAGAGTATTGCTAGAAGAAATCTGGAAAATGAAGATTTAAACATCAAAGTGAATCACTGCTCTAACCAAACCTTTGTTAGGTGAGAGGCACAGGAGTTACATGGAAGGAAAAATAATGGTCCTTGAATAAGTGTTGCTGAGCAGGGACAGGAAACAAAAGGTTCCCCTGGCTTTGTTCACTCTCTTCATTGTGTTGATTCAAGCTTTTTAAAGTATTTCACGACTTTTGACTTCTTGGCCTATGGATGGGTCACAGATCTTCTGAGAATCTGCATCCTAGGGCCAGCCTGTCTTTTATTGTACATACTTGGG